CTTTTCATATTCCAGCATCCACCCCCTTTTTCCAGAACTCCCTCCTTCTGCAACTTTCCATTCTTTTGTTTCCAAGCAACCACCCCCCCTACCTCTTTTTTCCAGTTAGTCCGTCCTCATAACCCGTTTTTTCTTTTCTTATTCCAAGCATCCACCCCTTATTCTCCAGAAGTCCCTCCTTCTGCAACTCCATTTCTATTTCCATGCAAACTACCACCTTTATTTTTTTCCAGGAGTCCGTCCTTCATAACCCGTTTTCTTTTCTTATTCCAAGCATCCACCCCCTTTTTCCAGAAGTCCCTCCTTCTTCATCCCCCGTTTTCTATTTCCAACCAACCACCAACACTTTTTTTCTAGTAGTCCCTCCTTCTACATTCCCATTTTCTCTTTCCCGTTTTCTATCTCCAGGCGACCTCCAGGTAACCGGCCTCTCCGTGCGCCTGTGTCTCCTCTCAGTCGTCCTCACAGCCTGGCTCATTATCGTCTTCTACACGAGCGTCCTCATGTCCTCCCTGGCTGTCCCGCTCCTCAGTCCTCCCTTCAAGGATATGCACGGACTCCTCATGGCTGGGACTCATAACCTCGGCCTCCAGGAAGGGAATTCAGAGGTGGAGAGAATGAGGGTGAGTGTGAGGAAGAGGTATTTTTTAATGTCTGTTTTATCTCATAATTTTTACCTGGATTATATTAAGCTATGTATCTATATATCTCTTTTTTTTTCTTTTTTTTCTGAACTTCATATTTACTTATATATATTTTCTTGAATTTACAAAGCATTCCTTTTGTTTAACTTTTTTAAATGCTTTAATACTTGTCTATCTGTTTATCCGTCTCATGTTATCCAATCCATCTCTATCTCCCCATTTCCTTCTATCTTTTTATTTCTTATTCTTTTCCTATGACTTTCTTTCCCTCAGATTTTTTCTTTTTCATAGAATTTTCTTCCTCAGATTTTTTTTCTTTTTGTCTATGACTTTCTCCCTCAGATTTTTCCTTTTTTGTCCTATGACTTTCCTTTCCCTCAGATGTAACTTCCTTACCCAGATTTTTTCCCCTTTTTCCCACAACTTTCTTTCCCTAGGATTCCCCCCCCCCCCACACAATTTCCTTTTTTTCCTATTCCTTTCCTCAATTTTTCCCTTTTTATCCTATGACTTTCTTTCCCTCAGATTTTTCCCTTTTTCCATGACCTTTTCCCTTTTTATCCTATGACTTTCCCTCAGATTTTTCCCTTTTTATCTATGACTTCTTTCCCATCCCTTTTATCCTATGACTTTCTTTCCCTCAATTTTTCCCCTTTTTATCCTATTTCCTTCCTTCCTCACGACCCCAAACTACAACACCCCCCAACCCTCCCACAGACCTCCCAAGACCCGGTCCTGCAGAAGGTGTGGTCAGACATCGTCCTGCAGGACCCCACCAACCTCGTCCCGAGCGCCAACGAAGGAATCCGTAGAATCCTCAAGGAGCGATTCGCCTTCCTGATGGACCTGGAGTACTTCGCCTACCACAGGGGGAGCGACTGCCGCCTCTTCCCTTTGCCCGACCACATCTTCACGTACGGGGCGGGGATGGCCGTTCGGAAGGGCTCGCCGCTCCGGCTGGTGTTCAACGATCAGTGAGTCTGCGAAGTGTGGGAGGGGAGGGGGGTTTTGTTTGTTTTCGGGTGGAACGTTCGTGTTTTTTCTTTTTTCTTTTTTTCTTGTTTATCTTCTTCATATTTGTCATCTTCATCTCTTCATTTTCATATTCTTCTTCATCTCCATCTTCATATTCATTTCTTCATATTCTTCTTTTTCACCTTCATTCTCTCCATCTCATTTTCATATCTTCTATCTTTTCTCATTTCATCTTCATCTTCCTTCATCTTTCATATTTCTTCATTTTCATCTTCATCTCCCTCTCCATTTTATTCCTCTTATTCATCTCCACATTTTTTTTTTTTCATCTATATCTTCATCTTCTTTTCTTCATTTTCGTCATCATCATCATCATCCCTTCCTCTTTACCTTTACTACCCATAATAAATCATTTTTCTCCTCCCTGCCACAACCCACTTCTAACTTTACAACCCATACCCAGCTAATACCAACAAACAACCCCCACAACCGTTCCAAAAGTACCTTCCCCCTACCCCCCCTTCCACACATAGCGAGACAAAAAATGAATAAATAAAATATAATAATAAACATTCAAGCCAAAATAAACAGATAAATAAGTAATAATAAACATTCAAGCCATTTCTTCCCTCACAGGGTCCTGCAACAACAGGTGACAGGGATCACGGATCGGAACAGGAAGAGACATCTGCCGAGTCCTCCTCTCTGTGCTCCCGACGGTCCTGAGGCCTTAGGACTCGGCACCCTCCTCACTTCCTTCCTCCTTCTCGCCGCTGCCTCCGTCGTCGCCTTGCTCGTGCTGTTCCTCGAGGTCGTCTACAGTCGTCATTTCAAGCGCACGGACTCAGCTGGGGACGCTGGGGGGACTGATGATGGATTTT